CCCCAAAACCCCAAAACCCCAAAACCCCAAAACCCCTTTTAGATTTATTAATATTGATTTTTAAAAATGGGGCTTAAAATTTTAGTTTCCCTCCTTCTTCTCAATTTTTGCTTGGCATACGATCCTTCTACTGTTGATGTTCATATCGTATGCCATTCTCACACAGATGCAGGATGGTACCAAACATACGATTCTTACTTTAATGAGAAAGTAGTGAGAATCCTTAACTCGACGATTGAAGCAGTGCATTCAAACAAATCTTACAAATTCAACTGGGCAGATACGAGTTTCCTTGCAAAATGGTATAGAGAGACAGCCAAACCTGAAGAGAGACAGAAGCTCCATGATATTGTCAATGATGGCAGATGGCAGTTCATGGGTGGTGGCTGGGTCATGAATGATGAGTCACTCACTGTGTATAAAAACGCAATGCTTCAGATAGAAACAGGTATCAAATTTTTGGAAGAGACATTCAATGTTAGGCCTCGAATAGGCTATCAGATTGATCCGTTTGGAAATTCTGCAGTTACTCCAAGTATTCTCTCAGCTCTTGGATATGAAGGAGTGGTGTTAAGCAGAATCGGGACAACATTTGATTGGGATCTAGAAACCTCTGAAAATTCAGAGTTCATTTGGGAAGGTTCAGATTTTGATGATAAGAGTGATGGTAAGCCCATCCTAGCCCATCACCTAGTCAGATCTAAATATCAGCCACCAGACGAGTTTAAATTCAGATCAACTTCATTTCCATTCTGGGTTCATCCAAGAGTGATGTGTTCAAACAAGGAAGAACTAAATGAAAACTACAAAGACTGAATCAAGCTTTTCTGGGATGAAGTGGTTCATCCATCTTTAACAGGCCATAGGCACAACAAAGTCCTGTCTATTTTCGGAGAGGACTTTGCATTTGATTATGCTTCTTACAGCCTTGATTACATTGATGAATTCATAAAAGTTAACAAAGAACATTTTGAAGAAGTTACTGGCAAAAAGATAAATATATTCTATAGTACTGTCAATGAATATTTTGATGCAGTAAAGAACTTTAACAATGGTGATATTGAGTTCCCTACCTATAAAGGCGATTTCCTTCCATATGTACAACTTGACCAAGGTACTTTTGACCACTGGGTTGGATATTACAGCTCTACGCCTTCTCTAAAGCAAATGATACGACATTTATTCCAAAGAGTGAGGTCATTAAAATTGGAAACTGTTCTTGGATATTTAAAGAATAACGCAACCAAGACTAACGATGATAAGATAAGAGAAATTCAGGAAGAAGCTTCAATAATGATGCATCATGATGCCATTACATCAACATCCCCAGATTGGACATTGAAGGATTATGCTGAAAGAATCAAATTAACTGAGAAAAAGATAGATGTAATTGAAGGAGAACTTCTCAAGACCTTTACTACAAGTCCTACTTATGATCATTCAGGCAAAAACAAAGGATCGTTAAGTGGAACAAAGCTACTCACTGTGTTCAATCCTTTAGGATACTCTAGGACAGAGTTGGCTAATTTTACTACTTCAACAGAGTATGTCCAGCTGTACAACTCTGATGGTGAAATTGTTGATAAAGCTGAATTATATGTAGAATATCTTGCTCAATATACAAACACTACTATAAACACAACAGTGAGAGAATACATTGTAGTATTCGAAGGAGAATTCCAACCTTTATCGATGACCAAGTACTTTTATAAAGAACTCAAAAATCGTTCTGAGTGTAATGATAAGTGTGTCAGAGTCCTCCAAACGCAGACTCCAAATGGCAACTCAGATATGAAGATTGAAAACTCCCATGTTGAGATTGAAATTAAGAGGGAACAGCTGATCTCATCTTACAAGGATAAATGGAGTGGAATTTCCATAGACTTCCCAACAACAATGCATACATATCCAGGAAATAAAGGAGAAACAACCTCCGGATTATACATATTCAACCCTATTAGGAGTTCTACTGAAAGAAAATTGATACCTCAACTTAGAAACATTCAAGAAGGAAAACTAGTCACAATTGTTCATTCATTTTACAAGCTAGAGGATACAAATACCACAATGGCTCAGTCTATCACTCTAAATCAGTGCTCTAATTTTGCTATGCAAAGGTCAGTCCGAGTCACGACTAAGATGTATTCTGAAGAACTGTATGAATTTACAATGAGATCAAATCTCAATGAAACATTTGATCAAGATTATACTAAAATATATGCAGATAATGGTGCAGACAATCAACTGAAACAGTTCTATACCTACCATGAAGCAAAGAAGTTCAACCTAACCAAGAATGAGAAGAGTTATGTAGGCTTAAATGGCATAGCAAGCATTTATGGTACAGCTTTGAGATCTGAAAATGATACCTTCTTTGGATTTGTAAATTCTAACTCTATTCTTGTGAACCCGATCACTAAGAATCATTATGAGATCATTCTGATGAGAAATACTGATTATTATGACGATAAAGGTAAGTATCTAAATTTACAATTTCAGGAATTGTTGATCCCCTAATTGACAAAAACATTGAAACTTTCGATCAAATACTATTCGCAGTTGAAGGTGTACAGCAATTCACTACTGTTCAGAAGGAACTCAGTGTCATACTAAATGATAAACTCCAAGTTCGTAAAACTGATACAGATTTTAAAACCAGCATGGATACTAAAACTGATAAAATTCTCCCTAACCCAGGGATCTCTGCTGGATTTGGGGATGTTGACATCATCGACGTCTCTATTAACAAAGGTACCACTTTTCTTACCCTCTAGACTTTCCAAAATACCTAAACTGGCAACTCAGGAGCAGGATGCCCTTCAACATCAGCCTTCACCCCTCCTTCAAAATCCACTCTCACTACCCCAAAGGAGTCGAACTCAACACTAACCCCCCTTTCAAGTCCAACAAAGACCTCTCTACCCCTCTTCTTACAAAACGTGCTGCTTACAAAACTCTAATTTCTGACTTCAATAGCAGCATGTCGTTCCCTACATTCTCCAGTAACACAACCAAGGATGTATTGTTTGGGTATATTTCTGTGAAGACTCCAGTTGAGCCCTTCCAGGGGAATTTAGATGCTGAGAATATTTCGTACTTGGATTTGGACACTTTAAAGAAAATGAGAGAGAGTGAGAATGAGGGTGGCGAGGAGAAGCCAGTTGATGGTACCTATCCAACCCCCTCTTCATCAGACCCAAAACCCCCTACAGACCCCTTCCAAGAAACTCATGACCCAGGTAAATACCCCAAAATTCTCCCTTCCCCTTCCTAACCCCCCCCCAAATCCTTCACACACCCTCGCCTGGACCCCCGCACTGGGCTAGGAAAGTGGCTGATTTTGGAGACTAAGAAAAAGGGAATTTTTTGAAATTTTAAGAGAAAATAGAGGCTAGCTTAGTGAGATTTGGGAGAATTTATGAATCATAGTGGGATTTTAGGGCTTCATAGGAGATTGTGTAGTAGGGAAAGAGGGTTGGGGATTTGTTAAGGATTAGGCTGGTTAACTCCTTGTAGGGTATAGTCATGATGAGAATACTGGAGTTTATAAGTACCATCATAGAGTATGTGACAATAAAGATATTGAGATGTAAGGTATTGTGTTACCTGTAGGTCTACTCTTGTGTGGGGATTCATTAAGATGTTCGGGATTTTCTTGGTGATTGGAAATGTGGTACTGGGAGCTAGCCTGGTTTATTTGAAGAGAATCAAGAGAACACAAATTCATAGGTATGTTATGTATTAAAATGTCAATGCTGAATTAAATTAAGGGGTTTTGGGGTTTTGGGGTTTTGGGGTTTTGGGG